CCCCAAAACCCCAAAACCCCAAAACCCCAAAACCCCAGGGTAAAATTGGAAGATTGAATTTATAGTTTATTTATGATGCTTCAAAATCTCTAAATAACGGTTTTATTTCATCCTTATTTTCCTTATTTTCCTCTTTGTTCTCTTCCTCTTTTATCATTTTTGGGTTACTAGAGATGAATACATTCTGTAATGTTTGGAATTTACGGAAATATGGATAATCAAATAATCTCCTTGTGTCATTAATAACCTGATCCATTTCTTTCTTATGGTTTGACTCGTTTCTTTCTGCGATAGGCATATAGCCTACTTGCTCATAGTATTCAGGAAGTGATAGAATATCGTAGCTAGATTCATCCCATAAGCCTTTTTGAAGCAGATCATCTACATTATATTTCTTAAATAGCCCTCTGATTCCTTGCTCTTGTAGAAGTCGTTCATAAGTGCTATCAAAAAGCTTTTTGTATCCAAATTGGTTCCTAACAAGAGTCTCTTCAAAGACCCAGTTTGTCAAATTTTTGTGACTTAAGGTCTTGTAGAAACTTCTTAATCCTTCAAATTCTTTGGCCTCTTGACGGACTGAAGATGAAAATACGATATTGAGACAGTCGAAGGATACTTCGTAGAACCAGATGTACGCTCAGCAAGCAAAGAAGAACGTCAGAAGGAATATCCTGTGATCCCTTGGAACATAGAAGATAGAGTGGTCATTGTATTCTACTTCATCTTGGAATTCTTTCCCGAGGACATGGTTCTCAAACATTTGTCTGTTGCATAGCATCCAGTAAGAGAATCCTCAAAAGAGTAGGCTTGCGTATTTGAGGTGGTAGAGAAAGATTGTGCTGAGAGCCGACTCAAATTGAGGTGGTCTTTGGAACCAATAAACCACTCCTATCTTGAAAGTTAAATAAATTACAGCAATAAAGAAGAAAGTAAGAGGGAACAGAATCGGTAAACCAAGCCCGTACATAAAGCATATCATGATAGCAACAAGCACTTGAGAGTATGGACTATGAAGGTTAAGTGTCCCTCCTGAACGGAGATTGGCAAATTCAAGATTTGTCTTTTTGTTTGTAAACACTCCAGTTCTATTATTTTTATCGTTCCTTTTAAGAATTGAGAATCAGATCTTTGAAAGAATATATCTTCTTTTATCAAAAATGATCAAGAGCTTTTTGAGCACCCATCCAACAATCATCTTTACAGGTTGTAATACACACCTAATGAACATCGGTGTGATAAAAATTGGTGCGACTATAATATACCATTTAGCATTAAAATCAGTATAATATCCATTTATAAACTTCAATGGTAACCCTGTTTCTTTGAAGTTAGCGTTCATTATTAGAATGACAATTGAACTATTAAAGAAGGTCAGAATAAAGTCTATAACCATTGCAGTTGATGCTTCTATTGTCTTGTTTTCCATTCTAAGAATTCTCATTGACAAGTTAATAGCTGCCCTGATGCCAAAATTAATGGTTTCAAGGATAGCAGGTCCAAGAAAAACACTCGCAATTACTATTCTTTTAGCGAATAAATAGTCTCTTCATAGAGGAGCTTCGAGGATAATACCTCTCGTCTGTACTTTGTAAATCTTTTGGGATGCATTCCTGTATCCAAGCTCAGACTGTAGGTTTTGGCAATATCACTGTAGATTTGAGGTAGATAATTTTAGTATAGATTCTCTTGATATTCCTTGGTCATGGATGTTATACCATTCAGTAACTGCAAATTTTAGCAACATTGCTTTTGATGCATATGATTCAGAGAGGAGCTCTCAATCAATCTCTGGGTAAGATCTGTTTAGTAAACCTTTAGTTTGCTGTGTTATTAAAAGTAATGTAAACCCTATGACCATTACAATTCCAATAATTGTTATTGCCACGATCCACCTTGCAAATGACTCCCAGCGAGATTTATGTTTATTCTCATATCTTATATTTGTAGGCTGGATAACTGTTTTGATAGAGAAGTCAAACTCTTTAGATTTTGTTGTTGCAACCTTCTGGACATTTATATGATGCTCTGTGAAATCGAAGCAACAGACTCTGGTGTAGTTCATACGTAAAGATCTTTGATACGCTTCTTCATTTTCAAAAATGATGTATGCCTCTATTGGAGTAGTATAGTCACCTGAACGTTAGGGTAAACAAATTACTTGAGTATTCATAAAGAATTTTCTTTTCTATTTCTTTTCTTTTTGAATCATTTTCATCGAGAATGGCTTTACCTCTTTTAATCATTAATGGAATCAATCGATAGTGCTTAAAAGTAAACTGAATGTCAACAATGCCAAGTAAATTATCGTCATCAGCTATGGATGGTTCTTCTTCTCTGAGCATTTTTGAGATTTCGTCTCTAAGGAACTTCTTAAAAGCATAGACTTCGGATTCTCCTGCAACATCTTGTCCACTGAAGTCATAAATATAGCTGATAAATTTATTTATACAAATCATCTGGCAGATCGTATTTTACGGTGTAGTCAGATATTGTTGTGGTTTTATGGTCCCATTCAGTATATTTTCCTTTCAGCCTTTGACTGACATAAAATCAGAACGCAAGAAATAGCACATTTATAGCAATAACTTCGTATGTTAGGATTTTATTTATCCACAGTTTGTTTTCAAGTTCATCTTCTGGAATATATCAGAACACTTGAACGAAGAATTGGGAGGTATATTCCACTCATTCTGGGGGCTCTGATGCAGGATCAACAAATGACCTGGTTTCAAGAAGTCAGGACTTTTTACCCATGCATTCTTCCTCGATATACTCTTCCACATATTGAGCAGAGTAAACACCTTCTCATTTCCATGTATCTTGATTTGGTTTACAGCCATCTAAATACCTCCCATTTGAAGGAGTGACTCCATATGATTCGATGTGGCTAATAACTCCTGTTGGTCAACTATACAAATTTAGCACATAGATTTACTCTAAAGTCATCTGGCCTACTCCAAGGGGTATATCTTTACAAAAGCTTGAGGAATAACCAAGATTTCCCATCTCAATAAAATCAAAAAGACTACTTGAATATTTGCTATTGCCATAATAGAAGTAAAGCCCCATCGTAAAACCAGCAATAAGCGAGAGCACAAAGAAGAGAATCATCAGCATTTCTAGAATATAGAAGAAGGAGTAGACTCCAAATCCAAGGACTGATAAGTCCTTGTAGGAATTGTCTACAATAGCTTGGGCTCGCTTCTTTGCTACTTCACTTGCATTCTTGAAATCTCTTGAGCTCATTCCTCCAGGAGCGAATTCCACATCCTCAATTTTAACATTTTCAGCGACATCTTTTTCTAAAGATTAGGGAATATCTTAACCTTTATCTCTGTGCCTTTGAATGAGCTCAAAGTCACTCCGAACATTTTTATCCAGGATATCTTTTAAAGATGGTGAAGGAGCTTTTGGCAATTGCTTGAACTATTATTTAGAAAGGAATCTACCTTAACGGCCTCATTTGATACATTCTTATCTTCTTCAATACTTGGTTTATTACCGTAAGGAGCTTGATTACTCCAGTTGTCATCAAAATTAAACGTAATACCTATGGGTTCTCTCTAGAGCTTACATTTCTTAAAAATAGTAGATAAAAGGGAATATCTGGCTAAGCCCAATGTTTGAATAATACAGGGGATGTCTGATTTTGAGTATCCTGTTTACTTCCTTAACCTATATCTTTATTAAAAAACTATGCTTTTAAAGTGACAAGATGTGTACCAACCAGACTTTGTAGAATAATGAGTTTCATGGAATTGATATACCAAATTCCCTATTTTAGTGACTCCTTACTTCTTTCTTTGTAAGCTCTCTCATTTTTATTTCAATTTATAATTCGATGGTTGGGGTTTTGGGGTTTTGGGGTTTTGGGGTTTTGGGG